TTTATCCAATTGCTTTTTGAACAGAAATAAATGTTTAGTACAACATCCAGTGATGAGGCATAGCTTACCACCGAGGCATACGCAGTGCAATCCACTCTGGTTCTTTAGAACACTCTCCCTTCTTGTTGCATTTGACACCTGCCAGCCCTTCCATTGGAGAGGCAGTGAACGTTTCATTTTCTGTCGCCTCCTGGCAGCTCAGGGTTTTCTAGACCTTCTCAAAAGTACAGAAATAGTTTGCCCAAATGTGCTCTGCTGGTGCAATAGACAATATTTTTCAAAATTTGATCTCATAAACATCAGGTTCCCTCACTACACACTGTTGATTCACTGTTTCGTACACTGGAGCATTAACAGGGACAATTTAGCCCAAGCCTTTGACATAAACCAATTTCCCAAACAACTTGTTTGAACAGAAGGGAAAAAACATCAAACTTTGCTTTTAATCTTTGGATAGATGCAAAATCCACCAAACTTTTGCACAAGCGTCTCTTTGTCTCTAGTTTCTGCTTTTTCCTTTTGCCAGGATAAATAGTTTCCCTGGAGTTTGGCACACAGCCTGCCATATGGTCGTGGCACTAATACCGCTACCCAAGAGAGCCCTACCATGAAACAAAAATAAAAGCACAAGAAAAACGAAATTAGCAGAGGGTCTTGGTATCAGATAACTTGGCAAGATTTTCCTTAACTGTAAACTTAGCAGAGCTGAGTGCCATATAAAGTTAGGCAGCTCTCTCCTCTCACATCCACCAACATTAAATACTTCAGGCTTTCTGGATTTACACACCCCTGCTATCCTGTGAATATGAAACAGAGCAGCCACCTCTGCAGTTCTGTGACATGAACTCACTTTTCCTCAAAGGAATCACAATGCTTTAAAGAGTAATACACCCAGTTGTGTATCTTTCCCTGGAATAGACACCTGTAACCTGGTTTCAAAGCCTTCCAAACCATATTGTTAAGGATGACAGTTCTGCCACAACTCAGAGACCTGAGGCTGTGGTTGACACTGGTTATAAAAAAACCCCACAAAGATGGGGTGGAGGGTTAGTCACTCCACTTAAAAGAAATATTACATCACTCCAGTCATCAGCACCAGGGCGTACACCTTTTAATCTGGCAGCTCTTTGATGGCGTAACGCAGACATGTGCCTAGGGGCTGTAACCAGTGGGCAGCTAAGTGATGCCAAGATGATGATCAGGAAATAAAGCACTTGGAGGGGCAGGAGAAGAAGAGGAAAGGCTGTGCGCAGGGGACTAGGGAATTCAGCTGAGCCAACCAGAGGTGACTCTCTGCTGTCATCTCTCACCAGCACCTGGTCTGGGATCACTTCAGGTCTTTCCCCATAACCTGCATATTTCTCCGCTACCAGAGGTCAGTCAGTCCAGGAGCTGGAGGTCTGTAACCCTGGACAAGTCCTGGGAGAATGATCTCTGGGAGGAGAAACAGAGTTGTTCTCCATCCCAGAAGCACTTCCAAACTTCCCAAGGAGACGGAGGAAGAGCAAAGTTAATCTCATCAGATTTCCTGAGTTTCTGTTTGCCTTCCACCCTCAGCTCTCTTCAAATCTTTATGGGAATACATGGATGTAAATTGGGGATGTAGGCTTCCAGACCTATGGCACTAACCCAGAAAACGGCCTGGCTGTTTGACCCATGTGGACTAGCCCACACAGAAGGCTACACAGACCACATGGGCTCCACTGCTCAAGTCTAGCAAGACTGTTGCGCAAGGCTGACTGTAAACTCAGTCAGCTGCCTGCCTCCTAAAGGGAGAGCTGTTGGGCTTCTGCCCTTTAGCCAAGCCTTTAGTAGACTCCTCAAAATCAAATGCGCTTCTTTGTACTTCCTGGTAGGGGTCTGGTGGACAGGGTCCCTGAGTGGCTGAAATGGGCAGTAAATTACTAGTTCTTTCCACCTTGTGCCACTCCTAAGTCCTGCCTAGTCACAGGGAAGCTGATCTATCAACAGTACTGAGTACAGCTGTAGTTTCAATGGCCATCAAGTTCCAGCCCTTGAGCACAACCATCTTTACACACACCTTATCATTAAGCTTCTTAGGGAGTGGGCAGATGACAAGTGGAGTGGGCAAAGGCAGTGAGAGACATCATCTCTAGCAGGGTTAGTGGAGAGGAGCAGGTGTGGGAGGGTAGGGTGGAGGACAAGCTGGAAAAGAGCCTGAGCAGAAGTGTGTAAGTCCTGGAACATCATTTGATACGCTGTGTGGAGTAACAGGCTGGATTATTTATGACAGCTATTGCTTTTGTGAAACCCCTTACTGTCCTGATTTCCTTTCCAGCCCAGCAAGCCTGCAGATACTGGGTTGTGCTGGAGCTGACCACTCCCAGAGCTACAAGGCATGCCAGGATCTGGTCCAACTCAGCCTGACTTTCAGCGGTGCTCACTTCTTTTTAGTAATGTTCTCCTCCATTTTAAATTCAGGAAGGTCAGATGTACTGTAATGATTTAATTACAAATAGTTTATATTCTGACATAAAAGCACTTTTGGTCCTTATACAAATTCAACTCTAAATTTATGGCAGTGTTTACAGACAGCTCTACTCAACTCTAACATTTGAATGCTTTCCAAAAGTGATTTGCATTCAGGAATACTACAGCACTTTCCTTTAACAAAGCTACAGCTGAACTTGGCTGTCACCTCCTGGTCTATGCTTAGGCTGTCTCAGTCTTGAGTTGAATCAGTGCCAGCGAGCAGCTACATTAAGCAAAAGATATTTTAGAATTCCTGCATCAAGTCGTCATTTATGTCTTTTCTTACACTAAGCTATCTCCTGTGCGCCCTCCATAACTATTGTGTGATTTTCATGGTCTGGAGCCTCAAAGAACAAATAAATCAGATCTTCCAAGCTCTCTCCTGAAAACTCACAGGTCATTGTTTTAAGCTCAGAGCTGATTCCTCCACTAATACTTGTGCAGAAAAGAGTTAGAGGAGGCAGAAGCTTGAGATGATGAAAGGATGTAAGCAGTGGGAAACCGAAAGGGGAGGTGAATCCTGAAACAGAGTTTATATGGATAAAGGGTAGGTGGGAGTAGAAACTGAAACTCGGGGAGGAGAACTGGAAAGAGATTGAATGGAGAGCAGGAAGTATAATATGGATTGTAACAAAGGAAGAAAAGGGCACAGAGAAAATGGGGAACATCTTATTGTTCAGATAGCCCCCAGAGGCTGCCTTACAAAGTCTCTACGTTCCTCTGCTGCAAAGTTAGCAGTGAAAGCCACTGGGAAAGTGAATATCTCATCCCACATTTATGCCTTATCCAAGTAGGATTGATAATGGGTGTGATTCTACATCATAGAAAGCTCATTTGAAAAACCCAAACCAACCCACCACCCAACCACCCAGCAATACATTATAACAATCAGGCTGCCAAGTCTGCACATTCATATCGCTAGTAAACATCAAATTTAGGTTTCTTTCTTCAACTTTAGATTGACTCCTTCGATCTTCTGCGTTGGAGATACTTACATCAAATTCAGACATTAGCACACTCACATGCTAATGTGTTTCCTGGGTTTTGGGTGTTGGTTTGTGTTTGTTTTGTTTGTTTGTTTTTTTTTCTAATTTGCAAACTGTCCAGAAATTAAAGTGTCTAAATTCAGGACAGAAAAACCAAATTAGGGCTTTAAAAGTGCATTTTCCAGAGTCAAATTACTTGAGGTCATCAAACCACTCACAGCAATGACAGCTACTTGGCTCTTGCTGAGATCCTCTGTTGAGCTTTACTGAGGTTTGCTCAGGAGTGAGCATCATGACAATTCTGCTTGGCTAGGACAAGGAGACACAGCATGTTGGCTTCAGCGGGAAACCATAGCTCTTGCTTCAGGTGCTCTCCAAGAGGAGAAAACAGTTAAAATCCTTATGAGAATGTCTGAGACTTTCACAAGGACCAGATCAAAAGTACTGGTAGCCTGCATCTTGGCTTGCATTCACGTTCTGAATGGTCCTGAGATAGACTGATATCCATATCCTAGCTAACAGAAGAAGGTTTATACATTTGAGAGGAAATCCACTGAGGTAAAGGTGGCTGTCTCATGTCGGCTGTGACGTGCTGCAGCCTAGCGTGGAATGGCACAAACCCGGTACGGGTGAGGCTGCAGCGTACCCCCCAAAACGGGCTCTGTGTTGATCCTCGTGACCCCCGCAGGGAGCCGGAAGGTGAATGCCCGCAGCAGGCTGGCAAAGAAAATGAAGAGCTCAGTCCTCGCTAGATGCTCTCCCAAACACACACGGTGCCCTGCAGGAGGAAGAGGGGAAGGACAGTGAGTATCGAGAAATTTTTCAGTTTCATAATCACTTTGTTCATTCTTGTTATAAGCAGAGGGGTATTTTTGTTCAGGATCATGAAAGCCACAGAACTTTGTGAATTCTTTCTAGGGAAGATCCCATCCAATGTCATAGGTTAGGAGACATCAAATGAAAATCTCAGTGAAAATCCCTGAGGTACCACCATCGTTTCTTTCTTGACTTTGCTTGACCTGACAGAAAATTATTTTCCTTTTACAGGAGATGTTGGGCTTCAAGGTCATACACACAGAACCTGCCAGCTGTTTGTGCATGCTTTCTTGGTGAATAAAGTCAGCAGATCAAAATTACTTAGCAAAGGCATTTGCAATTGCACAAAGGCTCAGACACTTCACAGGCAAAGCAAGAGGCCTGATGCTAATTTCCAAGGGTTCCTCATTGAAACATGAGCAGGACGGATGAATAATACATTCACACTTCCTGATTAGCAGACAAACAAAAGGAAAGAAAAAGCCAAAGGCACTTTACTACTAAGTGTGATCTCTCACTGCGTGTTGTTATTTCCTTCTTTTGCAACTGGATTTTCAGTTCTATAAGCAAGAAGTTAATCTTTTGTTTAACAGGATGCATTCTGCTTTTCTTTCAGCTTGTTCCTTTAAAAGGGATTGCAAGTAACTCCGGTACACACAAGACAGGTTGCTTCTTAGGAAAAAAAAACAAACAGCAATATAAAGAATACTACAGACAAAACTTGTAGATGACTGCAGCATGCAATAAGACTAGGAGGTTCAGGAGTTTGAGTGGGATTCCCACTGCAGTGTCCTAAGAACAGTTTGGGGTCTGACAGGACAGAAGCATGGCAGATACAAGCCAGTACTATTCTTTAAAAGCAGCAAACAGCAGAGATGATAGAAGACATTATCTGAAGAAATACCACAGTCTCACGCTTCTGTGTTCTTCATCTAATCTGTTGGGTTGGTTCAAACTGCCAGTGCATTTACCTGCTGAGAATGGTAAGAAGGCTTCTCGAGGTACAAAGTTTCCTTCTTTATCCAGAAAATGGCCTGGGTTGAACTGTCGAGGTGTCTCCCATTGCTCAGGGTCATATAGAACAGATGCTATGTTTGGCATAATGATCGTGCCCTGCAAGGAAGAAACTGTTGATTCAGTTCCAACTACCAGCTTCCCACCCATCAGTTTCTGTCTGGTGGATAAAATTGCTGCTTGTTGCTATTTTCCTTGTAATGAGCAGATACGATGTGGTTATAAGACCATTTTCGTAGAAAATTGGAGTTTGTGATCATTTTCTAAGTTGGAAATTAACAGTTTTCAGCCCTGCAGATATGTCAGTGGGTGTTAACGGCATTAGTGATGTTGGTACAACTGCATTGTGACCACTTTTACTACTAATCTTAGTAACACCTCTAGTAGGACACTTTTGTTGATATTCAGGTCCCAGGAAACCTCCTTCCAGGCTTATGAGAGAAAGGAATGCATCCTGAAATAACTGCAATTCTTCATTGACAACAACCTCTGAGCCCTTTTAGCAGCAGTGCGTTAGGCTTTTTCTTTACGGGTTGTTCCCAGCATCCCAGTTGGTGTGCCTTGGCTACCTGGCTGCCAGAAGCAGATAGAACAAAGTAAGACCTTCACCAGAAAATGAGTTAGGTGGGGCCAGTCCCAGACGCCAGTAATGGTGCTGGCCTCTCCCATTTCTCTTACAATAAAAGCAACCAATTCCTGTTTCTTGCTGGTGTTTTACAGTGAGAACTGACACCCAGCATAGCTTACGTCACTCTAAAAAATGCCTTACTGACTGTGAACATGTGTTTTAGGCAGTATTTGGGAGTAACTCCCTCACTGTCACTGGAGCTGACAGTTTCTCAGCTGTTAGATTCAGGCAGGTCCCTTAGTTCATGGAGTCAGTAGAGCTATGAGTCATCCTCTCACAAGTCTTCCTTCATCCCAGGAGTGTTGGCAGTGCCAAGTTGGGCAGGGATGTCTTAACCAGTGCTTTGGCAAACCAATTTCTCCTCTCAATCCATCTTCAGCCAAGCAGAGCTGGTCTCTGCAGTTGCACTGTGGATCAGCAGGGCAGGAGCTCAAGGCTTTAGCGGCAGGGGCAGGGGTCTTATCAGCTGCCTGAGCATCAACACACTGAGTGAGATACTTATTTCATTCCTGAAGCCATTAATGGTAACCCTTCGCCAGGCACCACGTTCCTGGGTTATATGGAGGATAGTTTATGGATGGACAATGGGTTACAAAACTGGAATAAATGCTGAATGTCTCTCTGCTGGAGAAAGAACAGAGGCAAAAATGTGTCTGTACCTTTTTGACAGGGAATCCCAGCAATATTGTGTCCCTCACACACACTCTGGGTATGCCGACAAAGACAATGTTGCTGAAGCGTTGGATCTCATGAACCACAGCATTTGTATAGGGCAGTTTTCTCCGATCCTCATAGCAAATTAACTGGGAAGGACCCAGAACAGCATCCAGCTCCTTCTGCACTTTCTCTGTGGAGAAATTGTCACCATTTTAAATGGGAAAAACGCATAAAATATTTTAACTGGTCTCTTTTCTTAGAGCAACAGGAAAATTTGTTGTTTCAACATAGCATATTAAGTCTATAACCTGTGATTTAATAGGATTTAATTCCTGAGTTTAATATATGAAAATAAAAATAAACAGGAAAAAAAGCCCAACAGTGCGGTCCAGAATCATAAGCAAGCACTGTGCTGGACTTATTCCAGCTCTGACATTTATCTTTCAGAATGCTTGGTGGGGGTAGGGCGGGTCCCTCAGCTCCAGGTTTCGAAGGTGTTTAGTGATAGGTTAGTTTATCTCAAAATCAAAATCTCATTTGCAAAATTGATATAAATGCCTCGGATATTAACTCCCAGTGCAAGGGATGAGTTGAGCAGAGTTGGTCCAAGTATGACAACATACAGTATGAACAAACAACACCTGAATCAGCCTAAAACCTTGGATGCAAATACGCACTCCATGACACAGCCTTTTCAGCCTCCTACTGAGGCTACAGGAATACAGGTATCGCCCTTGCTTTCAGAGCTCAAGCATAGCAGAGGTAAAAGCCACCAGCCCCAGGAGTATCGGAGTCCTCCTTAAACCCTGGCCATATCCTTTCTCTTCCTGGCATAGATGTGGATGAGGAAATAGCCTGGATCTACAGAGGCAGTCATGGAATTGGCGTTGATTAGATAAGCAATCTCTTTTGTAAAATTAACTCAGACAGGGACAACTGGTGAGTACCGTCAGCAGTTCTTGCCCGAAAACACCACCTCTACCTATCAGGTAGACAGAATCCTCCTCTTAAACTTCTTTTTCTGTTTCTATAGTCTTTCCATCCCTTGCAGATGTTCCATATTCAGGTTTTGTTTTCTCCTAAGGTTCGTGTGCTGCTTTGTGAACAGCCCATATTCCATGGATGCCCACTGCCTAGCCTTACACATGAAGCACTCAGCAAAGACAGAAAAGAATCACTGCATTCTTCAAGGAAGTATATGGATTTGCACTGTGCAAATTATTTTGCATCTCTCTACCTGTTTCCTGACAAGAAAGATGCAGAAAGAGGCAGCCATCTCTACCAAGACCATGGGCCTTCCTTAGGGCAACCTACAGCCCTTCGTAACCTGCCAAGATCTGTCCAGCTGGTTTGTCCAGTAAGACATCCAGTGGGTCATAGGAGTATTGGTGTGCTCAGCAAGTGCTGCGCCAGGAGGCAAAAAAATTGTAGGCTGTGTGGCAAACACAGCAAAGCTGTATTAGCACTCCTCATACCTGAACAATATCTCTGGTACAGACAGGACTCCTATTAGAGCTCTGATCTCTGTTCCTGTTGCCATCAGTCAGCCTGCAAACTCTCCACACAGAGCACCTCACTGACTTGTCACTTCAAAGAGCTAACCTTTGTCTCGCTGCAAGTGCCTTCATCCACCTGGTCTGGTCAGGTCATAGGATGGGCCTCTAATTTTTTCCTCTGCTGCCATTCTTTGTGTTTTCAGAGTGTGAAAGTCAGGCTCAACGAGTGGCTTTTGTGCCTGCAACTCGTTGTATTCAGCCATCATTAACATTCATAGCACCCACAGCATTTCACAGCAAGAATCCCTCTCACCTTGGATGTCTGGATTCACTACCATATAGAGCAGTCCCCAGTACAGTGTTGTGCTTGAGGTCTCTGATCCACCGAGGAAAAGATCATTTATAACATACACCAAATTGTCTTCGTCATACTTGGGCTTGACCCCATCCTTAGACTGTAGATGATGATAAAAAGGTGAAATTAAAACACAGAAGTTAGATAATTCTGTATGCCTCCTGTGTCTGAAACCCAGAGTGATATGTTGGCTGTTTCAGGGTAGTTATCTATGCACCCGTATTTAATCCCCTTGTAAACATGAGGTATCCTACTGTAGGAGGTGAGGTGGTCTACCAAAGTTACGTAATCTACAGGCATAAACTGTCTCATATTTACTACAGGATTGAAGAATACACAAGGATATTTGTGGAAAGCAGATGATAGCTCATGAGTTCACACCCTAACACACTTTGTGGTAATTCGTTCATGTAATCAAAACATAAAACCAGATGCCATTCTGGGACACATGAGTTAGTAAGTCCCAAGCTACTGTATTCACACTAAGAAGCCTATGAAATGTAAGAAACATTAGAAAGGGTGAGGCTGGATGATTTAATAGCCTATGTGGCCTTACACTCCATAAATATGTGATCAGGCAGCACAAACACTTACTTTCTCTATCTCAGCCAGGTAAAAGTCGATGAAATCCTGTGGTTCATCTGGTATCCCTCTCTCCACATGTCTTCTGATCTCCTTCCTTGCAAAAGAACTCAGGACATCATAGCAAGACAATGCTTTCTTATGAGGACCAGGGAGACGGCACATCAGCCAGGGGAAGATCTCGTAGAGCTGTGGGAGTGACATACAAGAGGTAAAATGAATTATCTGTCAGTTGCAAAGCTGCTTTTAGAAACATCAAAAGGCTGAATTGTCATGTTTGGAAATGTCGATAGTGGAATAAACAAATTAGTATTGCTTTGAGTAGATTTTTGTCATCATGTGGGAAAACTTTACTAGTAATTCTGACACACTTCTAGGGGTCAAGGCTGTACTGACAACACTCTGCTCATGCCAGTAAGTTTGCTTGACTAATGCAGATCACTAGAAGACCTTACTCCTGCTGTGTTGGAGACCCTAGCTCCCGCGCACTCCAAATGTAAGGACATCCTTTCTGGATACTGTGTGGCTACTAGGATTAACAAGTCTGCAGCCTCAAGTAACTGATGGAATTTGTGGAGCTCACAGAAGGAAAGTGTAGAGTGGGTATCACTCTAAGAGCTAAGTCAGTTTTCCCCATCAGCATCCTCGTGACTGCTACAGGATGAATAATCATTCTGGTGGTTTGAAATACTATGTCTTCAGTCTGCTGAGTGCATTAATACACACATCTGTCAGCTCAAAGCATTGTCCTCTAGCTTGGATAGTTCTCTCTTTGCAGCATCTGCCATTCCACCCTGCCAAGCAAACAGCATTTCTATATCCTCTCTTTGTTCTTTCAGACCTAACAAGTGAAGTCTCTCTAATTTTAAGTGATACTTTGTAGGATATCCCAATAACACTTCTCTACATTTGTTTCACTCCAGACCCACCACATGAGATGTCCAAGACCCTAGAATAGGTCCCACAGATTATCACACACCAGAACCTACTTAAACATTTCTCTATATCTAAAGGGAAAATAGTGCTGGAAACATTCAAAGATTCTGCTTGCCTTTTTCACGCTGTTATCTGCTAGTTTACACCAGTCCTTTTCCTCTTAACCTTAGCACTGAAACGTTCTAAGTTCATAGCAGATATTAATCTCATTAATTCCTAATATTTATCATAATTTAATTTTGTACTATTACAATTTGTGCCATTCCTGTAACTCTAATACACAGTGCTTACAAGCTCTTGCAGCAGGATATCCTGAACTTCCTCTGTATTGTTAAGGTCTCCTTACTTTGATAATCCACAGATTTCATCTATTTTTCTATTTTTTTACTCTAAGAAAGTTGTATAGTGCTACCCTCATATGACAGATTTGTTGTAAAGGTTTACTACCACATCAGCATTTTAGTTTGCCTTTTCCTATAAAACTCAAATGTCAATGGAACTTGCTATGCCATCCACAGTCCCCATTACACCCAGCTTGTCCCTCTTTACAGGTCTAAATCACAAAGTCTAAGTCGTGGGGAAAACATCAAGGGCACTTCAAGTGCAAAGTTGGTCTTTATGGTATGTTGTGGGAGGTGCCTACCGAAAAATCTCCAACAGAACTTGAATTGTGAGACTGCCAAAGAATGTATGTATTGTTTTTGTAATGTGTGAATTGTGAGCTATAATGAAGGAATGGAAAGATTCATGGTGAATATTTTATTATTTGTGAGGGCGGAAGAAAAAAGAAAATTGTCAGCACACAATTTGCAGAGCAGTAAAAAGCAGAACAGTGAATTCAGTGACACCCAATTTTGGAGAAGAGAAAGAAATAGAGGTGGGAGGAGCAGCGCTGCAGAGTTCAAATTTATTCAAACTCTAGTTTTAAGTTTTTATTAAACTCTTGAGTTTAAAGGTTTCTGTAAACAGTCTCAGAAATGTTGAAAGACTTAAAGTCAACAGAGAGGTGTCCCCTAAACTTGCAAAGAAACAAGACAGTTCTTAAAAATGGCCTCAAAACCAAGGAGGCAGTATTGAATTCCCAAGGACACCTCTTAGCTCCTAGTTTGCATTTGCCAGTTGCTCTGTATTTAGTGAAGACAGATTTTTGTATCTGCACTTTCATTTTCTACCTATTTCAGAAAAAAAAAGCGCAGCATATTATTTACTCACCTGATGAACAAAGCTGCCTGCAAATCTGAATAAATTCTCTGTGGCACTGATCAGTTCATGGAAGGTTTTGTCCTTCTCAGAGAAGTGATATCCAAAAACCACAGCACAAATTACATTTGAAATAGAATGGAAGAGAGGAAAAGAAGGATCCACAGGTCTTCCTGCAAACACAGTAACTGGTATTCACTCTCAATGTTTTCTTCAGGTGTTCCTTACACAGATAGGACAAGAAGTGGTTAGAGATTACATAAAATGTTCTCTGTATTCAGCTGGGGCATGGATGCAGATAGAGATGTGGCATTAATATGTATTCACGAAAATAAAACAGAGTCTTAGAGCAAAGGACACTGTTAAACTGATTCCTTATAGCTCTAAAAGAATCTCATAGCCCTTCCTGTGAAACAATATTGCACAACTAAGATCCGTTAGAGGATATCATATCAAATCTGCTGGCCTCAGCTGTGTGGAAGAAGACAATTCAAAATGCGAGAAGGAAGAAATGTCACTGGAGATGAACTAAGAGAAGACAGTGACAGACATGTTCAAAAACGCAAAAAGCTACTGAGAAAGAAAGTCTGAATGAACTTGAGAAGGTTTAAGAAGTGGAACAGATGGATAGGAACCACAAAGTATACTTAATAAAATTATTACAGTCTCAGCTGTGAACAATAGATCATCTCTGTCTGATGATTTTTTTTAAAGACATATCCATCAAAAATGATTTGGATAGAAATGATCCTGGCTTGGACTCTAGGATGAACCTGATAATCCATTAAAGTTCTCTCCCACCTCCTGCTTTCTCTGATTCTCTTGCCAATGATTACTTAGCCAGAAAGACACTAAAATATCCAATTTACTTCAGGGCACCTAATGTAATTGAAATTTTTTAGAGAAACGACTAAGCTTTGCAATACTTTACTTACCTACTGCAGGCACTCTGAGAATGGCTTGGCTGTGCAGTTCAGTGACATTGTATCATTGTACAATCGTATCATAGACAAATGACAAGCCCATGGAGGTAGAATTTCAGAAGTTCCCAACTTCGTTAGGTTTATGAAGAGTTTTTTAAGAAAGAAATTCCCACTTGCGATACTATGCTCTGTTTGCTCTTTGGGCTTTGGTTAAGTTTGGATACACCACTCTGGACCTACCTGACCCTAGAAAGGGGTAGGTAAGTTTGCATACTGAAGATATGGCTCCAGGACTGAAAAGCATCGGATTTCTTAGCAGACAGATACCTTTTAGGTTCACAAAGAACTCCACCAGGTGAGAGGCCTCCTCTTGCACTCGATACTCCAGGCCTTTTTTTCCCATTCCCAGATTGCGTAGAGTCATTATACCAAAGCGTCTCTGCTGCTTCCAGGAGCGACCACTTGCCAGTATAATACCTGAAAGCATTCCCTGGCATATTAGTATTTGGCATAGACATGAATGATTCATTTAAAAATATACTGTAAAATATATGGAGTGAATCAGGGAATACACCGTGACACAAATTTCTTCAGGTGAAACTATGAGTAACCAGAAATCATAGCCAAACAAACCCAAACTATAGCTAGACCACATGTTCTTAATATTGATTGGAGTTAATCTTCGAAAGAGCAATCTAAGGATTTGTTCACTGCTCCATTTCTTTATGTCTTAAAAAAACAACCTAAGAGGCTTTTTAGAAGATCTGCTGTAGCCATACTCAAGTGATCATGCTCAAGACAGGAATAACTGGATGAATTTCTACAGAGCGGTGTACAGGGCCAGAGTATGTTTATGGAGATACAAATCAATTAATGTGATGCTTGTAGGTTGAGGTGATAAAGGTGAAGGACAAGTGACATTTGGGCCCTGTTTCTCCTCTGGAAGGGAGACCACTCCACTGATTGATTGTTAAACTGCACTTGTGGTCACCTGAAGAGCCCTGAACTGCTGCTGTGATGGTGACGCTTTACTTGGCTTTAAACAATCCGTGTTTGCTTTGGGATAGCAAATGCAGGGGAGGAAAAACAAAAGACTGCAAACTGCTGAAATGCACTAAGGAGAAGTGAGTTTTTGTGTCAGAGGCACTCTCACAATCAAAGGGCATTCACCAAACATTCAAGAGTGGCTGCCAACACAGCGAAGAGGCTTCTGAAGGAAGGTGTTAGAGGTCTCTTGCTCATGATGGAAGATGTTTGGCAACCACAGTGGATACGGTTACCAAACTTATAAACAAGCTTTGCATTCATGTAATGTACAGCAAAATCATGTGCAGCAAATTGGACTATGCTGTGAAGAGGGCAAGATTGCCAGGTTCTGAGCTGGGAACATGTAGATCTTGAATATAGCAAAAAGGCCACCTAGGAACAACCTGATTTGGAGTGTTTTCCAGGCTTGTGAAAGCTTAGTACAAAAGGCATCACAGCAAATAACGAATTATCCTGAAGAGCTAATGGAGGACTTGGAGAGTATCTGATGGTAGAGCATTCTGAATGGGAGGGTAGAGGGTCTAACAAGGCGGAGTAGTTTGCAGAGTCAAGATTCCTGTGCACCATTTATGGCAGGAAAGTCTCACCTTTTCCTTTGGCCATTGCTCTGAAGAAAGGTGACACCATCCGCCCAGAGACATCTTCAGGGTGTGTAGTCATGCCATCCTTCACTGCTTGATACCCATTCAGTATGATCACTGGGGCCCACCCGAACCACAAAGTGTATATGTTACCATAAGTTTTTGCCAGCTGTAAGTGGAAAAGATGCCAGAAAAGAACAGATGAAACCCCATACATCTCGAAACAGACGCTGCACCTGCTATTCATCGGCCCAATGGCCAGTTTTGTGCGGAGAGCATCATCCCCATGGATATAATTATAGCTAGAAGCAGAAAGAGACTGTTGTTTTTCTGAGAATGAGGCTTTCAGCAGCCAATTTCATTTACCTGGGGGGAAGTGATTTTGTTTTCAAAGAACAGACTGCAGCAAAAGAAAGAAAAGTCTGTATTTTGTGTTGCATCACATCCAACTCCAACATTTGTACCTCGTTAACTGGACAGCCACTCTCTGCACCCTTCTGGGGCTCTTTGCCTCCAGGTACCCCTTCCTTTACAAAAGGAGACCAGCTGATTAAACCTGCTCCATCCGTGTGCTCCAGGAGAGGAGGTGAAGCCAGAAACTAGTCAACAGCCATGAAGTGCCAGTGGGCTGCAGATGAGTCCAGCGTTTCCTCACAGTACTGAGGAGAACACTGACCATTGGAGACAGGTGTATGACAGAGGAAATTCAATCATTTGTGGAAAAAGCTTTGTCCAAGAACAGGACTCTGCTCCAGTACACCTACAGGATACAAAAGAGGTGGTAGACAGTGTCTAAGGTGCCACCAGAATTACATCCAACTGATCACACTAGTCCCTTGCTTCTCCGTATAACTCTTTAGCCACTGGCTTTCCTCTCCCTGTTAGAGCATCGCTGCTTGTCTGAGCCTGCACTGCACTCAATCATCTCTGCGTACTGTCTCAGGCAAAGGTCTCAATTAGAAATCGTCTGTGAACTGCTGGAAGAATTACTGCCAAGGCACAGGCAGGGACTGAGGTGGCCTGGGGAAGAGCAGCTGTCTCTGAAAACAGGTTGCAAACAAATCGTTTTAAGGAGGTGCTGGTTGATGGGGAGTGTATGCCCTTTCCAGGTTACAAGCATGCATACACGTGAGCCATATTACCCACTTCGTGATCAAATTAAACAATGCCAGTGGGGCAGAACTTTTAAGAGTAACACATATGGACTTCACAGCATTGCAGAAGCATCTTTTTGATTATTGGTATTCTCCAATTTCAATAACAAGTCAGAAATCCTGTCCCCAAGCTTACATGATTCTGAAGGACACTAAGTTTCTCATGAAGATGACATATTCCACATAAGGTGACATGAATGTAGGAATCAAGGTGATCTTTATGTGTCCATACCTTGTCTGCAACTTCCTAAGACTTTAGAACTTCACTTTGCTATTAGCAAATCAGTTTTGTTTAAGCTGTGACTAAAATTAACCAATTAAGAGCCTCTTAAAAGAAATACCTCCATCAGAAGATCCCGATGAAACTGAAAGTTCAGATGCAGCAAGTTTCCGAGCAATGGGAGAGGAGTTGGTCCGGGAGGGAATTGCTTGCATGCCTTTCGCAGTTTGAAGAACTTAAAAATTAACAAAATAATGATCAAGACTACCAAAGCTTGACTTATTGTCAGCATTTCCAAGCTGATTTATTAGCTCGTCTCTGTCAAAAAAAAAGGTACTGGAGCTTGGAAAAGGTGATCTTCCTTCTTGTTCCACCAGTTGTCTCTGCAGACTGAGTTCTGTAAAGTCTCAGTTCCTTTCCCTCCCTCTGTCCCTCCCTCTTTATCACTGCCTGCCCTTTTCCTGCACCCCGTACATTTCCCTTACTGAGATACCTCAAGCTGATTCCTGACCGAAGGCAAACCCAGCTGGTTACAGCAAGCGACAGTATGAAAGTGTGGAATCACTTATCCTCAAGGTATTTGTCCTGAAGCTTGTGTTACGGAACTGCTGGTGTGTACTGGGAAATCTGTATCGGAAGGGCACCGGATGAGAGCCCTTTTTGACCACTGGATATGAGATGAGTGAAGCTCAGGTTCATTCACCTTGGGAACTTCAAAAACATACATAGTTGTTCATCTCAGAATCAGTGAATTCAGATTTTGAGTGTTAAATGTCAGTCACATTAGGTTAGATTTTCCAGGTGCTTTAGTCAAATACATTATTTAACTTATCCTTAAATGAGGTTGCAAATTCAGCTTTTCCTGCCAGCACACACAGTTCATATAGGCAAAAACAACAGTAGTTGCAGACTAAGCATCCAGTTAGAAGACAAAATCGTTACATGTAATTTCTGAAAAATTGGCTGGCCTTGAATGTTGAGTCAAACTTTCTTTTCCAGTAAATGGAAAAAATAAGTTTCATCAAGCGAGGATTAATGACATGAAACATTACACTTAAATAATAAAACCCAAAACATTAACATTTGTTATATTTAAAAAGTAATTAAATATAAAGTCCTTTTTTTTTTTTTTCAGTATGTAACCTAATTGAAGGGTTTGTTTGCTTTGGTTTATTTTCCGCATTTTCTATCAGTTTCCGAATCCTGGCTGTTATTACCAGTTATCAATAACTTTACAGGACACATCAAAAACCTGTCCTCTGATAATGAAGGGGTTCACATCGAGCTTGAAACACAGACAGGGGAAAGCACTGTGTGTCAATTACCAGAGGATCCTAACCTGCATTGCAAAGAGAAAGTGTCTCCGCTAAAAACGCAGTACAAGTCTGAACAAGTTATCGCCCTGCCCTCCCATGTGTACGCAAGTGCAGTATTTTGCAAACCTGTCAACATTAAGAAAGTAAAGTGACTCAGTGGTATCAATCCACCTCCTTCATTTGGCCAAACTTTGCAGCTATTGGAGGTACCTACGTGCCTGTGTTATGCAGTGAAGGCAGCACAGAACAGTCGGTTTTGATAACCTTATCTGTGCAAAAGTAACAAGAGATTATGGGCAGCGTGTGTGGGGAGCAGGCTGAGGTGGGCTCCGTGGCTCTGCTGAAACCAGTGGAAGTCAGGTACAATTGCCCACTGTGAGACTGAAATCAACAAAATATAAAAATCAGAAAAATTTGTTTCTTCAAACCAATATATCAAGTTTAAAATTTTGGAAAAATGGAAGAAAGTTAGTTTTGTACAAACAGCTGAAGTCAGAAGAAATGCTGAATTACATAAATTTCAGGAATAGACTAAATACAATCATATTCATCTCTTATCTGTTTGGTCAATATTCCATTGCTTAGTTTTAGACATTTCGTACTTGATGTAGTATTTTGACACCGGTTAATGAATACAATGGGTCAGATTTAACTGGAATCAAACCACCAGTGTCAAAAGCAGGATGAAGCCAAATGAGCCAGCCCGCTGTTTGTCCTACCAGATGTTACCATCACCTTTTCTTTTTTGATGTTTTCAGAATTTTCCAACTGTCTGAAACCCAGATGCATGAATAGTTACTTACTTCAGTGCCTGATGTCACTCGAAATAAAACCAGGCTGAGGGATCTTGTGTTGGCATGGATCTCTTCCTGTCTGATGCCTCCTCTTCCGGACACACTGTCAGCAATATTTGCTGGGTTTACATTTTTGGCAGAAAACTCAGCTTTCCTAAAAGATAGTAGCCCAGTTAAAGAACAGTCCGAAGAAGTGGCCTCAGAGGGCAAGAACGACAAGTTTTAATGAAAGCTATCAGGAAGTCAAAGTTTCAGTAAGTATTTGAGCAAACATAAAAGCACACCGTGAAGTAAGTTTCACAAAGATTAGTACAATGCTTGCAAAAGTAAAGGTGTGCAGGTAATGTGACAATCAAACAAGCATGGTCCTGATATCCTTGAGCAAGAAAATGTTTGATTTCAGCTCTGGGATATCAATACTTGAAAACCAAGAATAAACTGTAACACATTTGGTAAGATGGAAGGTCAGGAATTAGGTTCTCCAAAGCACAAGAACTGTCCACAGATTGTGAACAAAGTAGCAGCCATTTGCTTTGAGTGAGGCTTCAAATCTGTAATATTTAGAAGTGGAAATTGTACAATACATTGATATGCTTTTTAACTCCTCATCCACAATTACCTTCAGAAACTTGCAAAATTCACAAACTGGAATGTGCCTAGTAACTGGGGGCATTAAGGCTGGACTTAAGGTGGCACAAAAAGTGAGAAGGAAACAATGTACATGACCTTAATATCCAAAATAAAAATGGGGAAAGACAACAGAAAAAGGCCTGGCATTTCTGATCTAAAGTGCTGCAAGAACCTTTCTTGCAGGGAATTTGCCAAAGAGAAGAGTAACTTGACATTTTCTGGGCGAAATTACCAGAAAATGGATGATTCCTCTATGTAAGAAATAGATGGATTAATTTTTCAAGACGCAGGAAAATGTGAAGTACTTGAGATCACATCGTGATTTCTGCATAACAAGCCTGAGGATGCAAACAAACTCCCCCAAAAGATTAAGAAAATCAACAGGAAAAGATGCGTAAAAAAGATGCTAGAGGATAAATTCTAAAGCCTGACAGACAAACACGTTTCTGTGTACAAAAGAGACCAAAATCAACATTCTTACATCAGGCTCCTTTTTGTAGGACAATAGGCACTGTGCTATTGCTGCTAGTGAGTAAGTGAGGATGTACAGACCTGTGGGGAAAAAAGAAGTTCAAATTCCACAAATACCATCTTTTCAGAAATGTCTAAGAGAAGCAGAAACGCTGAGGTTATCAGCTGGAGCTGTTTATCATCTCAATCAGTGGTTTCTTCACAGCACTACTAGTGACTGCCAAGAATAAGGAAAAGCGTGATGACAGGACACTGGTGGCAGAGCTAAGCCAAGCTAAACAAAGGGGCTCCACAAGAGACTCCCACAAAGTCTGACAGAAATTAAGCACCCAAGAGTATGTGTCATAATAACTTGCCACAAAAAACACACCAAAGTTAAAATCCAGGAGAGTTGCAATTAAGGAGTGAATGGCTGGGGAAATGTTGAAAACTTGTACTGACCACAGGTAAAAATAATTTTTGTTGACATAGGAGTAAGGAAAAGCCAATAGGACAAGGAACAAGTCATCAATGGATGAGGCAAAGTTTAAGCAAGGGCAGTAGCTGACAGCCCACGCTTTTCACCCTAGGAATAACCAAAGAAAGCGTTACGTACCAAAAGGTGTTCATTCCACAGTCTTAAAATTGCACAGGTCAGAGAAAACACCACCTATCATAAAACAGATCACATCAAAGTAACTCATTTTCTTCATCTGAAAAAATTACAAATCTGTTTGATAAAGCAATAGTATTGAAGTTACATTACTTCATATATTTTTCAATTACCCGAACCCATTAATTTAAGAAAATCTAAAAGTGTTGTTTTTAAAGCCTGCAAATCTCAGGCTTGAGAGAACAGTGATGCTCAGGAAGCCAGAGCATTGGCAGAGATGGGTCAGCTCAATGCAAACACGGGAATACTGTGCTTCAGCACAGTCAAACGTAAAGCCACACAGCACATGAGGTAGTTTGTCCTGAGGAAAGTGGGACGATGAAGAGTTAGATGTGATCTCCTGGAGCTCTGCACTGAGAAGTGCAGGAGTCTTAGCACTAAACTTGTCTCGGCCATATACCGGCCAAAGACTAAGTGCACCATATCAAATCTCCTCGAGTGAAGGAGCAAAAGAGGACTTGGAGGACACATACCTTGGCATGCCTGACCAAGGGATCATAAGAATGTCCAAAGACACCAGGGACAGATAAGCCCTGAAGCAAAACAATTGGGCACCCACCAGGACAGAGAGGTTCACCTCTGAATAGCTCCAAAACGAGAGGATGGCTCTGAGGATGGTATTGCCCTCCAGCTCAGGTCTGAAATGACCTGGTCAATCTGTCTTTGTGTTCAGAACAGGTATATTGCAGAGAGAGTCATTCTCAACTGAAAGCACCAGTTCCAGGGACTGACTTGACATGGCTACGTCTATTCAGCACAAAAAATGACCATATTTGAGATAGATCTTAAATCACTTAGGATGGTTAGATCCAATTTACCCAACATTACAGATGAGTGTTTCACTCCTGGCATGTTCTTCACCAGGTTGACTGCAGATAGTAAGCTTGGCACATATATGCCCAAAACAACTCAGGTAAGAAGGTGGCCCTTTGACCCAAACAACACAAAACTCACAGCTTCTAGAAAAGTTCTATATGGGAGAAAGCTCAAAGAGAATAAGCACATGGAAAAGAAACAGTTTTAAAGGAATGCAGGTGTATGTAACAGTGGTTGCAAAATGACAAGCAGCTTTTAAAATAGGAGAAGGCTTGGAGATAAAGGAAGGCTGAGAAAGTTGTAATAATGTATAGCAGTGAACAAACAAGCTAATTAATAAAGACTGCAAGACTAAAAGATTGCACGACCAATATGACTCTCACCCTGTCTTTGTCTTTAAACAGTTCATATGTTCAAAATGAGGACATTCAAGAGTTTACAATGTGTGTTCTTCTAAAACAGCATCAAAAAAACCCAATCCAAACAAAAAAAAGCGAAACCCAACCCTTGAGATATAAATACTGACCTATAACTCAAAATTACTTCATACAACACTAAAAATAAGCAATGATTTCTCTTCTTTAGTTCACACTCTATCGAGTATCTCGGTGCT